AAGTTCAAGATGCTTGGGCTATGGGCATTAAAACTAGGAGTGTAAGGGTTAGGTGTTGGGTTTTAGGAGTTTTAATATTAGGATGTAGAGCCCAGAAGTTTTAGAATTATGAGCAATGGTGCCACTGGTTTGCCCAAAGTCAGGGTAATTGAAATCAGGATTGTATTCGATGATTTTTCACGTGTGATGAATCAGTACTCTTAGTCATTACAGAACGTTCAGACAAGAAACAAGCCGAACACCCCTCATTAGATTTGTTTTTAAGTGTCGAAGGATCTCAACTACTTGAGAAGGACATGTTCAGAGTCGTAACAGCCCCCATCATGAACATCGTGAGCGAGTAGTCAGATGGGGTTTTGACAGGCAGAACGATACTTCTGATAGTGCTTAAATGGTATTCAGTTCGTTTGTGACTAGCGTAAAAGCAGGTTTCTCTTTGTTGAACGATAGGAAACTTTCGTTTTCTAATAGCTATGTACTGCCGACTGCATATTTTCGAAACACAAGTACATGACCAGACGTTCTTATTGTTAACTAGCTATATATTAATCAACCGTTTTAATGATTAATCTAAAACCTACTGCGCACAACAGAATTGTTATTGATACCAGACTCAATTGACCAAATACCCAACAATCACAACCATATACTAGATCTCATCTCTAAATCTGACTGGATATCCTGACCCTTTAATGAGGTTCTCTTCAGCATAACATTTTGTTTCCTCGTGATGCTGGGCAGCCTTCAGTCAGCCTTGTCCTAATGAACTCAAAGTTAGGTCACGAACCGGTTGCTTATTGTTTCCGTATAGCTGTCACCTAGCAGTGTCTGTTATTTAACTTCGGTTTTGTATGTAGGGGTTCGATCTCGTTTCGTTCAGTACATACCTCTTGATCCTCAGGCACGTACCGGTTATGTTTTGTGACTGTTCCTTTCTGCATAGTATGGGACTTTGCGTTAGAAAAACGTCTAACTGCGTAACAGCAGAGAGACATTATGGAGACATCCTGTAGTTTTGGCAAGTTGTATTTCCATTGAGTAGTACTGCAAACTTATGCATCAAATTTTGTTTCAATATAACCAAGGACTTCGGGTGACTCAAGGAAGCTTCACATCTTATACAATAGAACGCTGTGATTGGGATCAACTTTTTTATTGTCGTTCTTTTGGGTCACTTTTGAGTTCAAACCGAACATTTTAGTTCCAGTCATTGTGCAGATTTTGACAAAATAACTTCATTACTGACAATAAATTTGTCCATGGAAGCCCAATATTGATTTGGAAGAGATTATTAGGAAGAGGATGCACAGTGTAAGATCAAAACCAAGGTTTGGACTGAAGAATATCTGTCTAAGTGTGTTAGATACGCGCCCGTACCCGAATGAAACCAAAACAAAGTGATTGGGTAGAACGAAAGTTCTGACATTCATAAGAAATTTGAGTGTATATTATTACCTTAACAAATATGACCACCCAGCTATTCAACCAACATTTGTTCACTTAATCAAATCTAAGTTAAATTAAGTGAGAATTTGATAACGGATGCGAGAAAATTACCAGTCTCAACAAATAAATACTATTCTATCCTGTCTGGATATACCACACAAAGATTCGTTCAAGAGATAATATCCCGTTGCTTTAAAAATGCGCAATTCCAGTCAATACAAGCAACACAGCCAAAAGGAGAAACCAACCAATATGGCTGTCACCAAGACTAAGTATCAAGTAAAACAACATGAATGCAGTTCAGGAAGAAACACGGAAACTTAGTACGGGCGTAAGAAAAATAAAAACTATAATAAAATACAAATGTTACCCACTCAAATGGAATCAAAAAGATCAACAAAATGCACAACTAAAGGAATCAATAGAGACAAATTGCAAGTGTATACAAGGAGAGATTTTCACACACAAAACATTCCAAATGGATCTTACACACAGAGTCCTATAGTTTTTGGCCATACGTATTACAGACTCAGAAACAATAGAAGATGTGGGCATTTAGAATAAAATCCATCTGCTTTGTCGTGGAGTCAGTACATAAGGCTTAGAGTCACTTAAATACATACCTCCATCCATCGGCGAAATAAACGAAAAGCATTTTGTTGTCTCATTGAAACATTAATAAGGCTACTGCGTGGAGCAAGTTGGGTGGTTCTATTTTGGTCAAGCATAAAAGTTTATCACTCTACAGAGGTATGTAATAAGCAAAAAAAGCCCCATTCAATTAGACAGAAACTCAGTCTTAACGCGTAACCCGGTGTTGTCGTCCTAACGGTGATTTATCGCTTGACTCAGACGAGTAAACTTGACTCACACATGAAAAACCTTATTCTCGCTAGTCAAAACATCAAATTCCTTTTTAATAAGACCCTAAGCTAATTTAGGTCAAATATTTCTACGAAATACGAATAAATTTACGAGGGTTGAAAAGCTCGCAAATTTGTGGATCTGAGATTTAAAGTAACCTAGTTATTTTATCGCAAACTCCCTTCCAAAAGTTCACGATTATGAGAAAACTTATGGGAATTTCATGGAACGACGAGATCGAAAAAAACTCTTAGCACATAGAAGGTCCGATTAGAGCATTCCAATCAACGTTACTCACTTGTTCTGTACAGTTAAGCCAATTCACTTTTTGAAAACACCCATATGGAGAAACAGGAAAGACACTCCAACAGTTTGTTTTAAGAGAAATGGGACGCTTTGTGGACGTTATCTCCAGACGGTTAGTGATTAGGAAGATGCCCCTGGTATATATTAGGCCAACCATTTTTTTCGTTCCTGCCTGAGAAAAAGACATTCCATGTTTTCCATAGAATTTGATCACTTGGGTGAACCTATGGCGGTTAAGATGGGCGTCAATATAATCCCATGTAAAAAGAGACGTTAAAATTCCCCCTGTCAGTCACGCAAATAATAGGGTGCATTATGATACGTTGAAGTTCACGTGCTGTGTTATCAATTATTTGGGCACCAGAATTAAACTGTTCATATAAATATTTCGGTAATAGCGAAATATGTGGAAATTTTTGACTGCCCTATCTCGTGTTATCCTAGACAATGTAAAGGTACGATAGCTGTTGTTATTGTAAAGATTCGCACTCATACCCATTTTAAGTAGTGAAGTTAGTGAGAAGATTTGGGAGCCTGACCGTTACATTTCTGGCACAACACGAGAGTGGTTTCACTAAAGAATAAAGAATCGTACCATGGTGAGTCTTGTTCGTAATCATACGACCCTTAAAGCTAAGCACACAATAAATGAGAAGACTTAAATAAGCCCATGAACACTTTGATAAAGTCAATATAGATCAACTAGGGAACAATGATTCGAGTTCACATGACATCTTGAACATATTCTTTAGTGTTTCCTGAAGAAAACATCATGGCTGTCACTACAGGACAAGTCAGAATAAGCGGTGATGAGGCAGTAGAACTGTGTTCTTGTTCAACATTAGCACATTTGTCTTAGCTACTATAATAATAGGCATCCAGTCTTTAGTAATAAGGATAATAGGTTGGTGAACCTGTGTCAATCTTAACAGACTGCCTTCCAGTGGAGATCCAGCCTCTCCTTGAGAATATTTACTGATGGGGCTGATACCACTTGTTCGAGTAAGGCATCCCAGTCATTGACTACTCGATGAGGAAAATGGGACCCCACTTTGAGTCTATTAGATCGCGTTTTGTGAACCTTATTTCTATGACCTCGGAGATTATTAGTGCTGGACAGAGCAAAAGGATAAGATATATTAACACCCAAATCATAATTAAAGATAATTCGCGTCGTATGATACGACGAGGAGAAAAGGTTTAGGGGTTTCAAATGCTCATCGTAAGGAAGTTTAGAAAGACCCTTCACTAATTTCCTTCCCACATGCTCGGCGAAGTGATCGTAACGCACGATAACCTTTGGCAGCAGCTGAGTTGCCGTGCATATTTGTTTTCATGTCATGACTTATTATTACTCTTAAGTCTATGAACTTGGACGCGTGGAAGATATGTACCATCAATAGTATAATGATAACTATTACCGTGTCTGATGTGAATGAGTACACTATTCCCATAATTAACTTCCAAGCCCCAACCTCGAGCCGATCTAATTAATTCATCTAAGTCAGCTTGGAGGTCAAAATGATCGGCCTCACTTCTTATGTTCTGCAGATTTCGGCATCATCCGCAAACAGTAGTGCCAAAGATCCAAGCAAAAGCGGTAATTTATTAACGTAGAAAGGGAAAAGTAGAGAGTCTAAGGTGGTGTCATGGGATACACCACTTTTGACGGGCTTCCATTCGCATAGCGTTCCACTGCCCCTCACCCTGTGTCTGCGGTTACATAAGAAGTTTCCTATCCGTTCCTGTACAGCACCTGTTATTCCGAAGCTCGAGAGCTTCTGAACAAGATTTAAGTGTAAAACCTTGTCAAACGCTTTGCTAAAATCGGTGAACATCACATCGAGAGACAGACCGTTATCTAGGGCCTCTGTCCAGTCCTCTCTCGTAATAATTAATTTAGTCAAACATGAACGCTTGTTACGAAACTCATGTTGCTCCCCCACGAGGGGTAACTAGCGTAAATGAGCAAGTAACCAAAGCTTTTGAGGCTTCATTTGGTATATGAGTTTCAATTTGCGAGTCCTTGCTTCCAGCTTAAGGCGAATATGTTAGAACGAGTTCAACGAAAGGAAGCCGAAGTGGTTAAATGTGACACTGACCTAATTTATGAAATCTGACTAAGACGCTCCAACCTATTTCTGTCAGTTTACTACAGATTATAAGGTGGTTTTATACTGGCTAACCGTACAGTGAATTGAGATGCCGGTAGAAATATTTCTTACTTTTTTTCTTCGCCTGAGCCTGGTCTTCTAAGAAAGGCCGTAACCACGATCAAATCGTTTACATCTGAAGTTCCGTTTTTAGTGTAGATTAATGAATTACTTGAATTCTCTGCCGAAACGCGTAATATCGGTATATTCCGTTCATACATTCAAAGCGTATTTAGATCTTCATAGTACTACAAATCCTAAGGACCTATCTTCGCTACTGAATACTGAGACAAAATTGTACGGGAACAGAAAAAAATCTTAATAAATTCCATTTTATGACCAATATCAAACTTTTAGTCTAATTCTTTACGACAATCAATACTGAATGGTAAAGTCTTATGACAATACATTGGCCAATATACTTCTTATTCTGCGTCAGACGTTACGTGATCACATCTACGTATTTAGTACTCTGTTTGAATTTGTACGCGTACAGTTTGTGAACATGAACCTAAGCGAGATAAGAAATGTGAGCGATACGAACGGGACCATTACAAACCTGGAGTTCAATCTAGATTCCATGATTACTAATTCAGCACTGTTTCTCCTGGCTATAGTACCTATTTATATAGGTTCTTTCCGTTCGATAACTAGTAAGAAGTCAACTGATGAGATAGAAGTTGTATCGGGTAAAGATGCAGCACTGTTTCCGTTTCTCGCCAGTGCTGCACTTTTCGGGATTTACGTCGTCTTTAAGGTTTGTCAGTGTATATAGTTCTACTATGTTAAAGTTCATTCCTATTCAGTACATCAACTCCGTTATGAAGTTATATTTCTCTTTTATGGGTGCTTGTGCAATATCCCGGTTCCTGTCGTAAGTACTTATTCTGCTAACTGTATGTGTAGACCCATCTTTCGCCCGTATATGCCGGGTTGTGTAAAAAATATGCGGTTCAAGTTTGAGTTTTCAAGAAGTTTAGAGAACTCAGATGGTTCCGAATCTCAATGGAACTTATTGGGTAGGTAGCCATGATTGTCTACATCTCACCTGATAGACAACTATGATTTTTCAGTTGAGTCGAAGGATTTCATAGGCACTGGCATCGGTATTTTGCTTGGCACTTGGTACTATTTTTCAGGAGTAAGTCAAAATAAATAGCTTTATTAGGTAGCATTGGATTGCGAACAATTTTATTGCAGTGACAGTTGCTATTTTGGCCATCGAATTCATAAGGTTGAATAAGTTCGTAAATGGCATATTACTTCTTTGCGGACTGTTCGTATATGATATATTTTGGGTAAGTTAGATTTCGTGCTATACTTTAAGTCCAGGTGTTTGGAACTGGTGTCATGATGGCTGTCGCAAAAAACCTAGATATTCCAATCAAAGGTAAGTAGTCTTATAACTTTCGTCAAACACAGATCTGTATTTCCTGAGGTTTATTACTACGTTTTACTTGATACCATTTTATTATATCACTAATGAATCCTGAGTATAATGTCGTCGTTTCGTTAATTTGCCATTAAGACTAAACTAGTTCATTTAATAAAGGTAATCACATTGCTGAGATTGTTGTATTTAACTAGTTAATATTGTAGTAATTAAACCAAGTAATTACACTTCAAAAGTTTCAAGGTATCCTTAGCAAATTTCCAAGTTTTCCATTTGATCACTTTTATTGATACACCAAATGAGTTGTAAAGTGCAATAGTCGTTTGTATGCAATTTTTTGCAGATGACTCTCAGTAAGTTTACTGGAATTAACTTAGTATATGCTTGTACGTCACCAATTAATTAATTATTTATTCAAACACATAGAAATTGGTTCAAGAAGGCACCAAATAGATATGCACCACACAAGTCATTTGATTTGTGTGTGGGCTGTGATACTGCCCGGGTGCCCAAATCAATGGCCTCCAAATGCCCTGGTACGGCCGAGGGTGGGGAGAGTCAGTTCTCCCTCTTCATGTGCTTTCACATGGCCGCGCGTATACAGCCACTGTCAGGGAAGTCGTACTCACAGCTTTCTTGTGACGGGGGTGTTGTTAATGAAACTGAGAGGACAAAAAGCGAATGTCCGGCGCTCTAACCAAGTTGGTGGATATGGAGGATCCACCTAACGAAGTTGGAAAACCCTGGTTCCAAACCAATGGTGCAGATGGACTCTTGGATCCTAGGGAAACAAATGGCGTATGAACCAATTATTGGCTACCGGCTACCATGAGACTGCATCTCCTTACGTTGCTCCTTGTGAATCAAACATTTAGGTCGAAGGCTCCGATTGTGGCCCATTAAGAAAACCATCTGCTTCGATCTGAACACCTGGGCAGTATTACAGTCCATACACAAATCAAATGACTTGTGTGGTGCATATTTACAGCGCCTCTTCATACCAATACTTATTTGTGTTCAAATAAAATAATAAATAATCACTCATCGTCTTCAGAATCCCATTTTTAGAAAACCTGTATATCTCTGATTTTTATTAGTTAGGTTTCTTACCCAGAAGTCTAATCAACTTGAGCGGACGCTGAGTTTGTAGTATTAGTATTCTACTGAGAAAATTAGGGATGTCCATGTGTTTCCTGTGTTTCGGAAGTAAGAATGCTTTAAAACTGAACCATTTTAACTGGGTTTTTTTATAAAAAGTTAGGGATGGTTGGATGTTTAACTATTATATCAACCGCAATGGATAGAGTATCCTACTGGATCTGAAAGTTCTTTTATTTCTCGCTTACGCAATCTGTAGTCAAGCGTTGACCTAGTGGTTGATGGATTCGAAGGTATCTTATAGCATATGTGTAGTACACTTAACGAATGAGCAATAATATTGTTAACCTGCACTGCCTGTAGCGATAGGGTTGTCACACCTACCGAGTTACTGTCTACTGCATTTTGGTATCAAACTTCAAATACTAGAAGTGATTCAACCATATACTCTTGTCTGAAGACCTATTGCTAGTGTGCCAAATCCTTGACTCCCCAAATTGATCATCTGGATCTCAACCCTTCACTTTTTATGTAAATATATGTTTGCTTGCACCTGGTTGCATCGTTATCGTAGCTTAACCGTAAGAAATTACTCTGGAAATAATGTAACGATGATATGTGTGTGGGTTTCATAATAAATACATCTGAGGTTGCCCATCTATTCATGTTTATCCACTAACTATTAAAAACAGTAGTAGCTTAGGTACAAACATTTAGTGTTCGGCCTTCCTAGAAGTTAGGACTGCCTTGCATGCAAGCATTTCTGTAATATTAGGATGGTTATTTTGTTAACATCAAGTAAGCTATATCGCTAATTATTTATAGTCTATTTTCGTTCATTTAAACATTGTGATAAAATGTTGAATGTTGTTACCTTATCTTTTTAGTTACTTTTCCGCGTGATTTTCTTTCAAATGGATTATTCGGCAAACAGTTAGCTTTGCTTGGTCTTGGTGATATAGTTGTTCCAGGAATATTTATCGCCATGCTTCTTAGGTTCGATACAAAGTAAGTTAGTTGCCATCTTTGCAATCATACAAGAACCCTCAAAATATGTCTTTTCAAATTGAGTGCATTTTGGCGCTGTTTTGTATATTCCTTTGTCCATAAAGCTTTGTTAGTTAATAAGGGTGCAATTGTAATGACAGCGATGCTGCCTACCAAATGGAGGGGCAGGGTTAGAAAATGTCGACCCTAAAATTGCGCACCTCGCTTTATCGCACGGATATCCGTCTTCGGCGGTAAGGTCTCAAGTACGGAACTAACATGAAAATTACTCACAAAATGGTCGTGTGTGGCCGACCCCAAACACTTGTCCCTTGGGCACTGCGGACACGCCCTCAGGTCACTAAGATAACCTCTAACCCAATTTCCTTTTCATGTACCTCCAGAAGAACCCTTGCAACCAAGAAGTGATAACTGCCCTCATACCTCTAACAGCACTCAAGATCACTGTATTCATAATCAATCACTCTCTTTAATTCCCATTATTCCTTCTACGTCGACTTTCAACACTAAACTTCCTCTTTTGTCCTCCTCCTCAAGTGTCATCATAGCCAACGATTCTAGTGCGCAAAATGCTCCCAGGTCTATTGAAACCTCGCTCCAAAATACACATTGTAGCCATAGACGTACACATTGTGTAAAATTGACCAACAGACCTCCTTGGCTAAAACCCCAGAATCTCGTACCATTGATGTTTGTTGTGTCTCTAAAACGCACGTACAGGATCCTAGTGTGGTCATTCACTTGACTTCACCTCGCCAAAACGGACAGCCAACGAGATACACCCTCCATGTATCTGGCGACTCGATGGCTAGTTCTCGTGGACTGGCAGGTGTAGGCATAGCACTGAGTACAAGGGCAGAACAAGCACTGTTAGAGTGGATCCCCGTTGACAGTCGTCTATGTACTTCTCGGCTAGACGGCTCCGTAAGGACTCGAAAGGATAGGGACACACGTCATTACCTTTTCATCGTTTCTTCTTACTCTCTCACTGACTGCAGCTGGGATGAAGCGAAATACGATTTATAACATCTAAAATAATAGCTTCAATAATTATCGGACGCCTAACTAACACTCGTGATCTGCAAACACGAGAAATTCAGGCTGGCTTCAGACCTGGTCGTGGCTGCATCGACCACATATCCACCGTTCGCCAGGTTTTGGAACACAGGCATGCTTATTTATTTATTTACTTGAACACATAAATATTGGTACAAGAGGGCACCAAATACATATGCGCCACACAAAACAATGAGTATGGGAAGGGAAAAAAGAAGGACAATAACAACCAGATTAGTGTAAGGTAGTGTAACGATAATAATAATAATAATAATAATAATAATAATAATAATAATAATAGTGATACTAATAATAATAATGGGGGGAAAACGCAAGGTTACAACCGGAAATCTTTCAGTTGGGGAAGATACAACAACTTTTCATAAAGAAAGCAAACGAAGATTACAGCAGGATCGCCACTGGCTTCTGTTCTGAGCCATATCTGATAACGTCTCTAGCCACTGCGTCGCACCATCTCTCGGACCCCAACCAGGGAGTCGTGAAGGACCAACACAAGCCAGCCCCTTGCAGCTTCCTTTCATACCCCGACACCATGTCATACACTGACCACCTCTCCGCTTCTTCCAACCAGTCCCAGTGTCGGCAAATAATGCCCGACGTGGAATTCCCTGGGACGACATTCGTAGAACATGTCCAAGCCACCGAAGTCGGTGTTTCAAGATGGTGACACCAATTGAATTATCATCTCTGTGCCCGAACACACGATGCCAAACCTCCACATTACTGACATGGTGTTGCCACTGAATGTCAGCAATCCTTCGGAGACAAACGATGATCAAACACAGAGAGTCGTCTAACGTCCTCAACTCGGAGAGGCCAGGTTTCACAAGCATAGAGCAGAACTGCTCTCCCCGATGCGTTGTAGATCCGACCCTTTACAGCCAGACTAACATCACGAAGGCGCCAAAGGTGGCCCAGATTGGCATAAGCCGATCTGGCTTTCACTACACGTGCGTTGACCTCATCACTCACGCCACCACCAGCACTTATGCAGCTACCTAGATATACGAACTTCTCGACTACTTCTATCTGCTCACCATCCAGGGTGAGTACAGGATTAGAATACTGCCAGTCTTGTAGAAGTACTTTGCACTTCGAAGGTGCGAAGCACATATCGTACCTACGGACACTGATTGCCAACTGATTAAGTGCGGATTGCATGGCTTGGGCATTATCGCACAGTAAGACAATATCATCCGCACACTAAAGGTCGAGAAGTCTTTCTCCAGGCAATAGATCCACACCGCCATTACTTACATCCATCAGAACTGTTTCCAGAATGTCATCGATGGCAAAGTTGAAGAGGAATGGTGAGATTGGTCAACCCTGTCTGACCTGACTGTTTGAATGGAGCAGTGGAGAAAGGTGGTTGTATGCCCCCCACTCTGCCTGAGGTGTTTGTGTATAGGGATTTTAGGTTGCTAATAAACTTCTCAGGCACACCCTTCTTCAGTAGAGAATCCCAGAGAACAGACCTATCCAACGAATCGAAGACAGCCCTGATGTCAAGAAACACTACGATTGTTGGCCTTTGAAAATTATGGCGGTGTTCTAACAGTTGGCGGAGAGTGAAGATATGAGCAATACATCCTCGACCAGGACGAAATCTAGCCTGCTCCTCGTGAGTCAATCTCCCTCGGGTTTTGAACAACCTACGAAGTATGACGAAAGCCAATAGCTTGGATGTAATCGGAAGTCGACTTATCTCCCGATAGTTGTTATAGAAACGACGTGAACCCTTTTTATAGATTGGAACAACTATTAACTCATTCCATGACGTTGGAACACTCTTTCGCTCCCAGACCTTTGTAAACAACTTCGTCAGTTCCTTAGTCAGAAAGTCACCACCATCTTTAAAAAGAGCCGGAGGTAAGTCATCTGGGCCAGGTGATTTGTGACGTTTCAATAGTTGGAGTTCCTTGCGGACTTCCTCCTCATTTGGTGGATCAGTCGTCACAGGTCATGGAGGGTAGGACAATCTGACCGATGTCGCCCGAGCAGCTGGACAGTTAAACTTCCCTTCGAAGAATTCTACCCATCGTCCAAGACGTCGATGGATGTTAGTGATTGGCATCCCGTCATCCTCACAGATTGTTTCGCTCACACCAGACTCTTAATGCCAGTGGCTTGGATGAGTTGAAAGGACTTTCGGCAGTTACCAGATGCAGCTGCTGCTTCCAGCTCATTAGCACGCTCTGACCACCAGGCTTCTCGGTCCTTACGCAAGCTTTACCCAATTTCATTACGTAAACATCCTTCGTTTGTGGTCAAACTCACGGTCACGCGGAGTAGACCAACGGGCGTCGATGAGTTGTAAGGAGCCTGAAGAAACCCGGCGTTTATAAGCGGGACGTTTCGCGGAGCCGCAAGCGGCTTGTGATGGTGTCATGAAGTTTCAACCACTGCTCATCTATACTTTTCGGTGGAATGGTAGCTAGCCTAGAAGCTAGCTCGGTTTGATACTTAATTGCAACAGAAGTTGCATGCTTATCGGAGTCCGATACACGAACTTCTAGACTACTTCTATCTGCTTACTGCAGGTTCAAGCTCCTGCTAGACTTGTAAAATTACTTTGCACTTAGAAGGTGCAAAACACATGCCATACCTATGGACATTAATTGCGGATTGCATGGCTCGGGTATCATCGCACAGTAATACTGCAATGTCAGTTCTGAAATTATTATAGACACCCGTCTTTCTGCGGTTCAGAGATTTTTTACGCTTGTCGCTATTGATGGGGTTATTTTCTTTTTAAAATTATTCTTCTTCATTTAAACTCACTAATTAGATCCAAACATTAATTCTCTACTGTTTTTTCCACAGACTTGGACGCAATAATAGTCATGCTTACTTCTACTCTGGATACGCAGCCTATATCGTTGCTATCATAATGACTTTCGTAATGATGCACGTATTCAAACACGCTCAGGTGAGCGAACAGTTTTTGAGTTTTCGTTTCAGAGTAAAGTTTCTCACATTTGTTCTACGTAATAAACAAAAAAGCTATTGTAATGTTTACCCTGAATATGTTTTCGGTCAGAGGGATTGTCAAACTATTCAAAGTAATATCCTGGCATGAAAAGCATTTACATGTATATTATTCAATTCCTTACACAAGCTCTGCCCAATTTCATTACGTAACAGCCTTCGTTTGTGGTCAAACTCACGGTCACCCGGAGTAGACCGACGGGCGTCGATGGGTTGTAAAGAGTCTGTATAAACCCAGCGCTTATAAGTGGGAAGCTTCGTGAAGCTGCAGGCGACTATATTCGCCATTTCCATGGCGTCGTGTAAATGTAGCCAGTGCTCATCCATACTTTTCGGTGGATTGATGGCTAGCCTTGAACCTAACTCGGTTTGATATTTAATGGCAACAGAAGCTGCAATCGGTTTACTGATATCAATCCGTTTAGGACGATGAATTCGTTGGCCACTGAAACGTAAGATAAGATTGGCGCAAACAAGGGCATGATGAGAATCCAGATAGGTACTCCAAAAGGAGCGGTAGTCTTGTACACGGCCATGCCAGCAATAGCTGATCGCGACGTGACCAATCTAAGTCCAGTTTTGAGACATAGATGGAGGACACCAAGTCGCACGTCGGCGATGACTGCCGAAAGTTTGTGCTAACCAGAAACAGGTAATCTGTGCAAAGTTGAAGTAGTCAATTGCCGTTATTTGATCTGCGACCAACGAGTCCCTACCGGCCACCTAAACGACTCTCTTTTGTGCCTAGAGGCCTAACCTGAGCATTCAAGTCTCCGGCTAGTACTACGATATTTGTCGGACGCACTTTCTAAAGAAGAACAGTTAACTGGTGGTAGAATTCACCATTGATGGAAGGTTAGAATTTCAATGACGGTAAAGAGTCGAATATTTCAATGTGGAAAATTAGTTCGAACATAGAATATCCTCCTAAATTCATTCTCTCCGTGTTTTCAAAGTTTTCAGATATTGATTAGGATTACGTGTTTATGATTGTACATATAATGCAAGATAAATAATACAAAACGAGTTAAGAAAAGCAATCATAGGTGATTTGACAGGTTATATGACAAATATTCAGTTAGTATTTATGCAATACATATAAAGTAGATGTAATAAATGGAGAAAACACATCTTAAGGTTCACTAGTATAAAGAATATGTTAGACTCAATAATGGTCACAAGTCTACGGTTTGTGAACGTCAATATGTGTACTAGATTCTACTTTGTGACTGACTAATTGACTTCAGTACCATCCATTTTATCTGAATAATTTCACCAAAAATTTAAATTACTGTTAAACTTTTCCGTAGTATTATCATCATTCACTGAAAAGATTCATTGATTGTTATGATCCATTTCAGGATTCTATTTCCTGTAGAATAAGTAGTATGTATTGTTTTTATCCTGTTCCATCATGTTTTGTTCGTAGCAGGGGATTTATTTTTTATGAAATATTAGCCTTAATATCCAGTTATTCTAGCTTCCTTATTTTAAAATTATTCCACACTTTCTGTTTGCAGATTTCTATTGGAGTAAAACTTCTGTTATATAAATAACTATGTTTATTGCCTTTTCATTAATCTAGCCGGCTTTACTTTACCTGGTACCTGCTTGTTTGGGTGCACCATTGCTTATGGCTTTAGTGAAAAATGATCTTAGTGCAATGTTCAAGTGAGTTCCTGTTCTGATGTTTTTTCCTAGCAGACAAACCTTTAAGCTTTTTTTCATATCGTCAATACATTCCAATTTATAATCTAATTATCGTAAAAAAATTATATAAGCTTCTCATTGGAAATGATTTAACAAGACTGACCTATCGTATATTGTAATATTATTTTTGTTTGATAGATGCACATAGTCAGTCATACGACGGTGTAGGCTACTTATGTTGACAGATATAAGTAGTATATAGCAGCAGTCGGAAGTAAAATGCCTGCCAGTAGAAGATTGAATTGAAGAGAACATGAAGGGAAACGGAGAGCAATTGTGATTACAACAGGATTAGAGGGATAATGGAGTGTAGAAAGGATAACGCAAAGAAGATGCGCAAATGATGTATTTCACATTTTACTAAGCCACTGTGTAATTTTGCATCAAACAATAAATTGGTTTTCCCAACATGAGTTCTCGTTCACTACAGTAATGTGTAGCCACTTGTCTAGGAAATGTTGGTGAGCAAAAAAGATAAAATGTGAATGTATTTGACACTAAATTCAACATATTTCAAGGTATATCTTCTGGTGTCTTTACTTCCTAATTTTAAACATTATACCTATGTAGCGAAAGTAAAAATAAATGGATAATTAGTGCATTTAATGAATGTTAGTTTTCGGAACTTGATTGCATTGACTTTTATTCACAATGGAATAATGTTCTGTTATCACTGATAATAACTCTGTCATCTCTATACAGATAGCAAACTTAATTGATTTATCTACACAATTTATGCACAATATACTGCTTAAAAATGTAAAATATTAAGTCATTAATATCGGCTAATTAAGCAGGCACGTAATACAAGTTAATAAGTAATCTGATGGTGATGTTTGTGTATATGTGACTATCACCATATGCACAAGATATTTATTTGTTCTAGCAAAAACTAAGCTAAGGTCATCGGTTGTTAAACCATAAATCTAATTATACATTTCCAAAAATCGATATAGTGGAATGATTGAAATGCTCGTTTTCTGACATTTAAATTTACTAAGATATTTTCTACATTTTTGTCTTAATCTTCTCGTTGGTTTGTTTAAATCGTTGCTTACTTTATCTTATTTTAACGTAAGGAACTTCTACACCTCGAAAGTGTATTTACATAACCTAAGTTCTTTTTTGTATACATGTGTCAGAACTACCTGAATTAAGTACTAAGTATGAATTATCTCTAAAGCTGTTATTTTTTAATAATTAATATGAATAACCACGCAAGTTAGATTAAATCATCATCGAAACCTCAGTCAGTTGTTAACAATGTAGATCCTGGAACAAATATGCATTGGTCTAAGATGCCATATCACGTTAACACATTGAGATGAAATTAACACGAGGATACAATATATAATACTTTAGTAGTAAACAACGAGAAGGATTAAGCATTAATAATATTCGGGACAAAAGACAATAGTATGTAAGAAGGGATACTAAAACTTGAGATCGAAAAGATGAAAAGTAAATGCACACTAACGTATGCTAAGCCAAATCACCCGACTTCTGATCGAAATATATTTATGAGGCATAATCCATAAGATGTATAGTCATCAACTCTAATTGGATTATATTATTATTTTCAAAATATGGTAGACTAGTTTATTCAATTTTTTTTCTAGCTATGAAGATGAACCGGAAGCTGAGAAGAAAATTCAGGAGGCTGATGTTTCAAACAAATCTAAGAAAAGTAAATAACAATATCAACCTTTGGGGTGGGGGCAATTGACCGATTTTATCATCTTAATCTGTCCATATATAACTTATGTACACAAATATATTTATTTCTACAGTGTTAAGTGTGTAACGTTTGTGCTACGTGCTGACTGTTTGTTTTGTTTTCTGTAAAATAATGTTGTTGGCGAAAAACCCTAACATAACTTGTTCGTTTGACATTTGTTTTAACCTTGTCGCTTTGCTAATAAAGCTGTTACGCTGTCTGTTTATTTTGTGACATCAATATCCAAAGTCTAAACATAAAAAGTGAAATACCAAAATATGTGAACATTATTGGCAAGCAATCAAGGTTACTTCTTCAGATCATTTTCATTTTATAAATACATATTTAAAATAATATCCTGATTGTTTTGACAGTGCTAATAATAAATTCCGTTCTAAATTATACTTTACTTTAAATGCCGATATATTTGTATAATTGGTGGCAACTGACATTTTAGCGCATTGCATTTTATGTCCATAAGTTGAAATAAAATTTGGGATTTCAGATTAGTTACTGAAGTAATGATACGTTGTCTATGCAAATTGTCTGTGAACTTTCGACGAAACCATTATACCTGATACGGCATGAGAATCTCCCTGAAGTTTATGTTTTAATGTGAAATGTTAAGTAGATATTACTCGGTAGATCTATTTCTTTCCATTTAATTAGGCACCGGTATCTTAAACTTTCTAGAACTCTTATTGGATACACCATGCTTTGATTACTTAAGCCACGAAGCCTAGTGAGGTAAGTCTATTTTCAAACATCTTACAATTAAGAAATAGACAGTGATGTGTGCTAGCGTAAATTTTCCTATGTAACAACTCATTGAATTATTTGCTTCGAAACGTCGGTAAAAGGATTAAACTGTTAATGTTAAAGAGCTACAAGTAAGATTTTTTGTCTTTGGATTTGACGAAACTGTATGACTACACTTAATTGTACGACGGTTTACTCGACAAGTAGGTATTAGTAACAAGATGTATTAACAAAAAAACAGTGGAAAGGTGTTATTCACAATATTAATAATCCAGTATGTGATACATCCGTTTGTCTGTTTTCACTGACTGACCAGCTACAACTCATATTGTCCAGGTACACCAATAGTCTGAATTAATTCATGTCCTTGTATTCTGGTCAGTTTACAGTTTCTTATCCTATTCAAACTTGTATTCAAGCAGAATAGAGGCTGGTAGTAAATTCTTGTTCCCATTTCCAACTCGCTTTGTATGTCAGGATTTGTAGTAGTTTAACGCACAAAGTAAGTACGTAACACCAGATAGTTTGGCATTATAATTTGTCAGAAATGAAATCTCATCTTGCTCCCAGGGATATTTGTGTTTACTCATTCTATACTGTAGGCGAGTGATAAAGACAATCTCAGTACTTGTTTCCCGATAGCAATTTCAACTCCTGAGGATAATTCGTTTATGCTTCAAGGATAATATCTTCTAACTGACTGGTTTCAAACAGTACTTTACGTCGTACAACAACTACCATATTGTTAGCAACCAGTTTATTTTGAGGAAGGATGTACTTCTTTCAATTGATGTGCTAATGGGGTATAATTACAAGACACTAACTTGGTGTTTCTCATATGCCGCACGACATAAACGCAAACTATGTAGACCTTTTGAGTTCTGTTTTGGCACCTGGGCAGTACCTAATACACACACTAATCAGAATCTAAAAGAATTACCTTCGCTTCAATTCGCGTTCTCACAAATTGTATTTACAATTATTTGGTAACACTAGTTTATATCACTTGTTAGTTCCCTTTTATTCCCATTTTGTTTATCCCTTTAACTTTCAACTCATACAGCAGGCCACCTATGTTGCGGGTCCTGTCCTATCTAGATTTCCTTAGGTCATTGTTTGGTTGAAAGTTGAATACAACCAACCATGATTCTTGATCAGTCTTTTTAAAACACGTTATTCATTCAAACCGGACTCTTCCAACGTTCGGACATCAATGTAGGTTGGACAACAGATAGGGTGGCTATGTCTTTAGAAAGTCTTAACATCGACGTCTGTTGCCTATCCGTATCCAAGACTCTAGTGAAGTACCACAAGTTCACTCTCCATTTGTCGCTTCGAGGTCGTTTCAAATATGTACTTAAAAAGACTGTGGAATCTTGAGTTTTAACACCAACTAAGTGTTGTTCAACAGAAAAAGAGTTCGACAGATATTGTAGTGTCAACCAGGGACTTGAGTGCACAAGTAGAGTGTTTAAAAGAAGAAAGTCGTTTAGGTGGCCGGTAGGGACTCGTTGGTCGCAGATCAAATAACGGCAATTGACTACTTCAACTTTGCACAGATTACTTGTTTCTGGTTAGCACAAACTTTCGGCAGTCATCGCCGACGTGCGACTTGGTGTCCTCCATCTATGTCTCAAAACTGGACTTAGATTGGTCACGTCGCGATCAGCTATTGCTGGCATGGCCGTGTACAAGACTACCGCTCCTTTTGGAGTACCTATCTGGATTCTCATCATGCCCTTGTTTGCGCCAATCTTATCTTACGTTTCAGTGGCCAACGAATTCATCGTCCTAAACGGATTGATATCAGTAAACCGATTGCAGCTTCTGTTGCAATTAAATATCAACCCGAGTTAGGTTCAAGGCTAGCCATCAATCCACCGAAAAGTATAGATGAGCACTGGCTACATTTACACGACGCCATGGAAATGGCGAATATAGTCGCCTGCAGCTTCACGAAGCTTCCCACTTATAAGCGCTGGGTTTATACAGACTCTTTACAACCCATTGAGATACGTCGGCCTACTTACGCTAACCGCAAATTTTACGATAAACGTAGATTACTATGTAATAAAATGCGAGCTCATCAATACCCGAGCTAATGCTTTCCATGAACCAATGTTACAGCGTGACAAGTGCATAGGTTGATACGACGACGTTTAAATGAAATTTACGAGTGTGCTGTATAAGAAGTTCAATAACGTGGGATACAAAAAGCTCTGACAACAGTGGTGTTCAGAAATGTTAGGTCTCCCACTTAACAGACATTCAACTTTTAAATTTAATTAAGGAACACGTAACAAAGAAAAATATTCCGGATCTCAGAATACAGTTAAATTATGTCCGTGGGCAAGAAGATTTATTAACTAGCAATCAATGCAGCTCCTAAAGAGAGAAGAGCAAAATCGGAATACCAAGATAGATTACCTCTTGAAAAGATTAATTGAATTAAAAAAGCAATGCCATTATCATCAGGATATTGGATTCAATGCAGTTAGTAGTCAGTTTGTCGAAGACGGCCAGTTCTCGGCAGAACAGACTTCAACGTATCGTAAGGGCAGAATCAGATCCGAGATAAATTTTGGTAAATCCAATGAATAATTTGGACGGGACATTGGTTTTCACTCCTGAAAAGACTGAGTACAAGTGTCAAGAATTTAAAGTCCCCATTCACAAAAGATACGGTTTAGATCTGATCGAGAACTGACCATTTAAAAAGGTCAAGTGCCTTTCATAGGGTCAATTAAAACTTTTAGCTTGAAACTTGTTTTCAGCATCAAGAATGTATAGTAAAATGTCTTCTAAACTGTTTTTCCCAAATGTCAGCTAGTCTGAAACAGACAAAAAGTATGCAATAACGATCTAATGTACGGGCGGTCGCGGCAATGGAAAAGTTGGTGGATAAAATTAAAGTCAAAATAAATACTATGGATTAAGATTTCATGACTGTAAGGACCTATCACTTGTCGTATAAAGAACGATAAAGCTAAATATATGTTTGGAAGCAGATGAAAGGCATCACAAATAAACGAGTTTCTGATGTGTCAGGCTTCCAGAATGGATGGTCCGAAAATCCTCTGGGCGTGGCACAAGGTATTTAGGATGGATTTTAGGCTCTTCACCTCAATCCTCGAACTTTGCTTAATAAAAGACCGGAGAGAGGACCCTAACTGACTCTCATAGGTTGAGTACAACCGTAATAACAGAAACATTGTTAACTCAGTCCAGGGATAACAGCGAGGTTGGTTTCAAGAAGTCAATAGAATTGTTACTACATTCCAATTAAACCCCCAAATGCCCTGGTAAGGCGGAGAGTGGGGAAAGTCTGCTCTCCCTCTCGAAATACTCTCACACGGCCACGCGTATACAGCCTCTGCCAGGGAAGTCCTACTCATTGCCTTCTCGTGGCGGGGGTGTTGTTTACGAAAATGAGAGGACGAAAAGCGAATGTCCGGCGCTTTAACCGGATTCCAAACCAATGGTGCACATCGACTACAGTGTCCTGCGGGAACAAATGGCGTATGAACCAATCGTTGGTCACCGGCTTCCATGGGACTGCATCTCCTTACGATGCTCCACTGCCTTGTGGGTTAGACCTTTAGGTCAAAGGCTCGGGGTGTGGCCTCCTAAGATAACCACTTGCTTCGGTCTGGGCACCCGGGCAGTATCGCAGCCCACACACAATTATGATGAACTCTCTGTATCAATGGAAACTACTTTTCTCGCTTCGAATAACAATCAAATGATCCAAATGATTATTATTACTATTATTATTTACCACACTATTCACCCTCTTTTATACTTATACAGCGGCTCGTCTTTGGTGGAAATTCGACTGTATCTAAACGTTCTCGAGTCACTGTCCGGTTAAAAATTGTATGTTACCACTGAATATGAGTACTGAAGCAGTTTTTCTGAAACCACGTGCACCCTTCAAACTGGCTGCCTTCAGCGTTCGCACACTTATGCAGGTTGGACAACACATAGGGCTGGCTATGTCTTTGGAAAGTCGTAATATCGATGTCTGCTGTCTATCCGAGACCTGTATTCAAGACTCTGGTGAAGTACTACAAATTCGCTCTCCATCTGTCGCTTCGAAAAGCTTGTTTTACGTGCGCTTATCCGGGGACCCTGTGGCATCTTCGTCTGGTCTTGCTGGCGTTGGTGTCGCACTAAGCGCTAGAGCTGAGGCAGCACTAGTCGATTGCATCCCCATCAACAGTCGGTTATGTGCTGTTAGATTAGATAGTTCCATCAAAGTGAGAAATCGGCGTGAGAAACGATGTCTTTTCGTCATCTCCGCCTATGCCCCGACAGATTGCAGCCCAGATGCAATCAAGGATGAGTTTTACCACCAGTTATCTGTTCTTCTCCAGAAAGTGCGTTCGACAGATATTGTAGTACTAGCCGGAGACTTGAATGCTCAGGTCGGGTGTCTAGGTACAGAAGAGAGTCGTCTAGGTGGCCGATGGGGACTTGTTGGTCGCAGGACAGATAACGGGGGCCGTCTACTGCAACTGTGCACAGACCACAACCTGTTTCTGGCTAGCACTAACTTTCGGCACAGTCATCGCCGATGTGCCACCTGGCGTCCTCCCTCTGCATCCCAAGCCTGGACTCAGACTGATCACATCGCGATCAGTTACCGCTGGCGTGGTTGTGTACAAGACTGCCGCTACTTCTGGAGTACCTATCTGGACTCTGATCATGCTTTGGTCTGCGCCAATCTTACCTCGCTTTTCGTGGACAACGAAGTAACCGCCACCAACGGATTGATGTTAGCAAGCTGGTTGCAACTTCTGTTGCAATTAAGTATCAAACCGAGCTAGCTTCTAGGCTAGCTACCATTCCACCGAAAAGTATAGATGAGTATTGGTTGAGTTAATAGTTGTTCCAATCTATAAAAAGGGTTCACGTCGCTTCTATAACAACTATCGGGAGATAAGTCGACTTCCGATTACATCCAAGCTATTCGCTTTCGTCATACTTCGTAGGTTGTTCAAAACCCGAGGGAGATTGACTCACGAGGAGCAGGCTAGATTTCGTCCCGGTCGAGGATGTATTGCTCATATCTTCACTCTCCGCCAACTGTTAGAACACCGCCATAATTTTCAAAGGCCAACAATCGTAGTGTTTCTTGACATCAGGGCTGTCTTCGATTCGTTGGATAGGTCTGTTCTCTGGGATTCTCTACTGAAGAAGGGTGTGCCTGAGAAGTTTATTAGCAACCTAAAATCCCTATACACAAACACCTCAGGCAGAGTGGGGGGCATACAACCACCTTTCTCCACTGCTCCATTCAAACAGTCAGGTCAGACAGGGTTGACCAATCTCACCATTCCTCTTCAACTTTGCCATCGATGACATTCTGGAAACAGTTCTGATGGATGTAAGTAATGGCGGTGTGGATCTATTGCCTGGAGAAAGACTTCTCGACCTTTAGTGTGCGGATGATATTGTCTTACTGTGCGATAATGCCCAAGCCATGCAATCCGCACTTAATCAGTTGGCAATCAGTGTCCGTAGGTATGGTATGTGCTTCGCACCTTCGAAATGCAAAGTACTTCTACAAGACTGGCAGTATTCTAATCCTGTACTCACCCTGGATGGTGAGCAGATAGAAGTAGTCGAGAAGTTCGTATATCTGGGTAGCTGCATAAGTGCTGGTGGGGGTGTGAGTGATGAGATCAATGCACGAATAGTGAAAGCCAGAGCGGCTTATGCCAATCTGGGCCACCTTTGGCGCCTTCGTGATGTTAGTCTGACTGTAAAACGTCGGATCTACAACGCATCGGGGAGAGCAGTTTTGCTCTGTGCTTGTGAAACCTGGCCTCTCCGAGTTGAGGACGTTAGACGACTCTCTGTGTTCGATCATCGTTGTCTCCGAAGGATTGCTGACATTCAGTGGCAACACCATGTCAGTAATGTGGAGGTTCGGCATCATGTGTTCGGGCACAGAGATGATAATTCAATTGGTGTCACCATCTTGAAACACCGACTTCGGTGGCTTGGACATGTTCTACGAATGTCGTCCCAGAGAATTCCACGTCGGGCATTATTTGCCGACACTGGGACTGGTTGGAAGAAGCGGAGAGGTGGTCAGTGTATGACATGGTGTCGGGGTATGAAAGGAAGCTGCAAGGGGCTGGCTTGTGTTGGTCCTTCACGACTCCCTGGTTGGGGTCCGAGAGATGGTGCGACGCGGTGGCTAGAGACGTTACCAGATATGGCTCAGAACAGAAGCCAGTGGCGATCCTGCTGTAATCTTCGTTTGCTTTCTTTATGAAAAGTTGTTGTATCTTCCCCAACTGAAAGATTTCCGGTTGTAACTTTGCGTTTTCCCCCCATTATTATTATTATTACACTACCGTACACTAATCTGTTCGTTATTGTTCTTCTTTTCCTTTAAGCTCCTTACCCTTTTCTCTTCCCATTCTCATTGTTTTGTGTGGCGCATATATATTAGTCACCTGTAGACTAACAGCGTCCAGGACTTGAAAACCACCGTACACTCGTGCAGTAGCTGAGAAAGGTTTAAGAACCTATTGGATAAAATGTAAATCCTATAGTTGTCGAGATATCTCCTATACTAAACTCAACACTAGGGTAATACGTGCCAGAAACTAGTCCTTTTCTAAATACACATCGGGAGAGGTGATCCAAAGAACGGAAATCAAACTTGTCTCAAGAACTTTGAAGCATTTGCATGACGCTAAGTCAGTAACAACGTAGAACTTCGTACGTACGTACATCAGTTCGAGTTGCCACACCACATTAGCACAGAGATGCAGTGGTCGATTCAAATCCCGTAGTGGTAGAGGTAATAAGAGTATAAGCAGTAATCAGGAAAATTAGTGTTTGGAGATGTTATTTAAAGAGTATAATACAGTGAAATAAATTTGGGTAGAGAAAAAAAGAGACGAGGAATAAGGAGACAAAATTTAGGAGAACACAAAGAGTGTATGCACCTGCGCCATTGCAAACGATTTTGAACCTGACGTAGTGTGAATATGTGGTCTATACAACCACGTCCAGGCCGAAAACCAGCCTGATTTTCTCTAGTCTGCTCTTTACGAGCTTTAGTTAGGCGTCGAAGTATTATTGAAGCTAATATTTTAGATACTATATTTGTCAAACTGATTCCTCTGTGATTGTCACAAGAGGACTTTTGTCCTTTCTTATAGACTGGCACAATCAGTGATTGAGACCAGTCAGATGGGATTACGTCCAGTTCCCAAATTCTACCTAAGACCTCGGTTAATCTCATTGCTAATACTGGACTACCATCCTTAAAAATCTCAGGAGTAAACCTGTCAGGGCCTGCTGCTCTCCCTCGCTTCAGATTTCCTATAGCTTTCTCAACTTCCTGAAGAGTCGGAGGACCTACACTAACTTACCATTCAGGTCGACTGGAGATCGTGGGAAACCGAAGTGTGGCTGAAGGCCAGTTGAACTGATCCCTAAAGTGTTCTGCCCATCGATCCAATCTCCTGGATTGAGAATGTATAATATGTCCATCTTTTTCCGAGATAGTTTCACTAACAGTTGTGTTCTTAATACCGGTTTCCTTAACAAGTCTGAACAATTGTCTGCCATTACCTATTGCCGCTGCCTTTTCCATCTCTCTTGCTTTCGCTACCCACCACCGTTTACGATCATTGCGTAGACTTCTTGCCAGCTTGCGCTTAAGCTGACTCCACTCCTCATTATGTTCAGAGCCAGGTGGAATGAGTTTCCGAGCATCTATCAGTGCGATAGATGCTGCTGAGATCCAGTGTTGCTCCCTAACCTTACGGGTTACCGTACTAGCAGATATCACTGCTGTTTCCACAGCTTTTCGGATATCATTCCATGCTGCATCGGGGTGGGCATCACCTATATGGCTGCCGAACTGTTTTCCTAGTTGTTCCTGAAATATACTCTTAGCTTGACTATCATTAAGTAGGCCCCAAAGAGGTTTCCTTGAAGCGTCTTTCCTACGTCCAGTAAGACGCGTTTGCATGACGCTAAATTAATGTGAACAAACTAATCACCCCTAACACATAAAACGAACATATGCGAGTACACAATTTAAGTCCACATACTCAGAACTAACTGAGACGACTTTTTATATTAGATTGAGTTATCAGAAGGCAGATCTTTGCGCATCAATAAATTTTATTCTAAAGGTAGCGCATGGAGAAACATCCCACTATTAAGAAAAATGAAGTCAGCAGCTAGTACTAACGATATCCTCTATTCAATCAATTGTTCCATGACTCAAACAGTGAAAAAATACACACCTAATACGACTTCTAGAAATTATACGATTTTTAAATATGGGAAGTCATCTAATTCACATGACTAAATATTTTCAGGTCTATATAGAGGCTGGTGAAATTCAGAAAATACTTTCTGCAATCACAGTTTGTAATATCAAAACTCCTTACGAGGAAAATTAGTGTAAATCACAAATATTGAAGTGCTTTTTGTTAGAGTAATATTACTAATAATGATCAAGTAACTAAAAGAAAAATATCCACTGGACAAAAATTGATACACAACTAGTAAGATAGAATAAAACTCAAGATCAGTACATCTTGGAAATATGTGTGACCAAAGTCACAGGTAATTTGATATTAACTACTACATAAATTCAGTTTTTTGTATGATAAACCAATAAAGATTTGCATATGCAGATATATCCCAAATCCAAGTAACAAGAGAAACTAGGGTTCCCTGATTATTGAGCTTGATGTTTTCTACTTAGAGCGTTCATAACTGAAAAGTTTTAAAGGACTGAAACAACTTACTGAGCGATTCTTGCTAGTTGATATAATCCAGTTAGAGCAACAAAGGCGTTTACACTGAGAAGGTTGTAATTTTTTGGGATAATAACCATAGAATAGCGAGACCATATGAGACCTGTTGCTGCAAGCGCTGTGCTTTGGTATAAACTGACGTTCTGGACTGGTCGGTTAATATCTGCTAAACCAGCTATAACAAGAAGCTTTAATTAACTAGTAATTGGTGGATTAATGTTAACCAACCCATTTGAAAGTAGGCGCCCAGAAAAATATGGTTTTAGGTCCCGCAGGATGATCCCATAAAGGTTTTATTCGAGCAGGAACCTTCTTATCAACGGCTGAAATTACCGCCCGATAAACTGCCGACATCTGTCCGATAATTTACGCGGCAAGATTTTGTAATCTGAGTGTCCTTGGTCTGTGGTTATTCTAAACAATCAAGCTTCATCTTTATTTCATATACCTGGAATTATATAGCATAAGCGATTGAAAAATTTGAGCTCCATTTTGAGGGTTAGCTTACTGTTCCAAGTCTTTGCTAACTCTACTGAACTTCATATTTGATTCCGATTTGTATAGTAAGGACAGAAGGCCTACGGCCTATGTTATTCCTTTTCTAGTATGCTTCTGTGAGTGTTCAGTCTTCTCTTGAAAGAGTCAATTGAAGGTGCGGACACCACTGCTTCAGGCAGCAGGTTCCAAGTATTGATGACTCGGTGTGAAAACCTGTATGCCACGGGTATTTTGTTCGTTCTTGGCTTTTCTACTCGCCTGCTATGTCCTCTGAGGTGTCCCGATCTAGTGGGAAGAAAGAGAGAGAATAAGTTAGGTCCGAAACCATTTCTCAGTATTCTGTACATCAAAATTAGATCTCCCCTTAGTCTGCGATTGGACAGAGTAAAGAGGTCCAGTTTTTCAAGCCGCTCTTTGTATGATAAACCCCGGAGTTCTGGAATTGCACGGATAGCTGCTCTCTGTACTTTTTCTAGTATGTCCGAGTCACCTTTTTAACAGGGGCTTGCAGCCTGAACGCAGTTCTTCAGCTTAGTTCTCACTAATGATGTGTATACTGTGGTGAACATGGTAGTATCTAACTTAGTGAATGTCCTTTTTAAAGCCCAGAGGGCTCGAAACCCCTTGGCTGCGACCTCCCGGCAATGGGCCGTCGTCGTAAGATCCTTACTTACTGTCACCCCTAGATCCTTATGAGACCATACTACGGGTAATGACACATCCCCTATGTTGTATGTATTAACCTTTGAATCCCCCAGGTGCATGTAGACACGCTTCCGCGTTGATAGGCGTCAGCCACTCTTTGGACCAGTTTATCATATTATTTAAGTCTGCATGAAGAGCAAATGCGTCTTTGTCTCCAGTTATTACTCGCCAAATTTTCACATCGTCAGCGTATAATAACATTGGAGACTGTACTATACTTGTAAGATCATTAACGTACATTATAGAAAGTAAAGGACCTAGGACGGAACCTTGGGGTACTCCACTAAGTACTGATCTCCAGATGGAGCACTTGGAATTTATTCTTACTTTTTGTCTACGACCTACTAGGACATCCTTAATCCATTTTAAAAGAGGTCCGGCAATACCAAGTTTTTCCAACGTCGATAGCAGTCTATTAGTTGGCACCTTGTCAAAAGCCTTACTGAAATCTATGTAGACAACATCCACTGAGTTTCCTCTGTCTAGCGCATTAATCCAGAACTCCCTTGCTATAAGGAGATTTGTTGTACAGGATAGACCCTTTCTAAAACCATGTTGTGCCATGTTCAGAAAGTTATTGGTTTCCATAAATACCGTTATGGTCCGTTTGATTATTCTCTCCAGTATTTTAATTACAACACTGGTGAGGCTCACGGGTCTGTAGTTCGATGGAACTTGTCTTGGACCTGTTTTATGTATGGGAGTGACGATTGCGTTTTTCCAGTCCATAGGTAACACACTTGGTCAAGTGATATATTGAATATCACAGTCAGTGGGGCTGCGATATTTTGGGCAAAATGTCTCAAGATTTTGGGGTGTAGTTCATCTGGTCCTGTTGACTTCTCCATGTTCAGGGTGCTAAGAGCCTTAAGCACATCGTTTTGGTCGAAGTCCACGGTGAGCAGCTGGTTTGTCGACTCTGTATTTGGGTCTGGTTCTTTGTCTAGAGGAAGTTCCTGAGTGAAAACTGCCCCAAAATAGTCAACCATAGCCTCTGCTTTTTCCTGATCTTTCTCTATCATTTCAGATTCACTCCCTTCTTTAATTAGGTTGGGAATCCAATGATGCATCCTTATTCTGTAGTTTATGTATGAGAATATTCTCTTGGGCTGCTTGAGTGCAGATTGTGCCAGCTGCATTTCATATTTTCTTTGAGCTTCCCGAATTTTCGTTATACACTCGTTTCTTATCAATCTGTAGCGTTCCATCGTACCTGCTGTGCCAAGGCGGATGGCAACACCCCAGCATTTCTCCTTTTGTCTTAGTAAACGTCGAATATCCCGCCCTATCCAGGGATGTCCGTGCTTCTTTTTCTTTGGGACAGTCCAGGGTATGTATGGTTGAGTTACCCGATTGTACAACTGCCTGAATAGAGTCCATGCCTCTTATACTGATACCTTTGAGTCAATTTCCCAGTTCTCAGTCAATGCTGCGGAGTTAATTACCTGCATATCTGCCTTCCATATATTAGGACGGGCCGGCGTAACTGTTTGACAGGCAATCTCATCCATGAATTTGAATAAGATGACTGCATGGTCACTTCTCCCAAGTGGTGAGAGAAAAGCCATTTGACCAACGTCATCACCGTGTGTGAAGACTAAACCTAAAAGAAAAGAATTCGATAGTATATTCACCCGTCTTCATAAGAAGATAATGATGGTGTATGTTATAACTTCATTCCAGAACAGTTGTGACTAGTCCCCAGGCTTCATTTAAATCATAGTTCCTGGCCAATCTTCACTGGAGTTTCAGAGGGGTGATATTCCAGTGGATGTATGTGGCTCGGTGATTATCTAAAATGCCAAGAACATCATTTGATTTTTCGAAGGGTTGAATCTGCTCCTCCGGTTGCTCTAGTTTTCCCTAAACCCTCTGTGAATCGCCTTGATATCTGATAGTTTTTAAAGGCTAAATTTCGGTTTCGTAGATAATAATTGTAGCGACAAATAAAAATTTTGCGAGTCTGTTAATAAATATGAAGAACATTAGGAAGGCCAAGATGAGCCATTATATCACTCTTGACATTTACGCTCTCCTATTTGAATGCAATCTGCTGTAAGCATGATTCAGAAGCTAGTTCTTTAACGACGAAAAGAGTTAATCTGTGAACGTTGATTGCTATATCTTTGATGATAGGACAGCGTGCAATGAAACATCGAATATTTCAGTAAAATCCAAAAATAGAGATGTGCAGGCCATTTCTGAAACCATAAGATGGTACAAGCGTTTTGTGTCCTCATATATAGGACACTGGTTTTTCGAAGGTGACAGTATTGCCTTCTTTTGCGTTTGAAATACTTTACTACCGACACACTAGCTGCAAGTCAGTGAGATAGTTTAACATCCGCCCTTGAACTAGTATGGTTGCTTTGAGGATGTTGAATGGACTCCAAAACGCGTTAACTCGAGAATACTTATCAATAACTATTCATTCTGGCATTTCTTATCAACGTCTTAATGTTAAAAAACCAGCAAATTCAGATGTTATAGTCAAACGCTTGAAATGATGAAATATCGAAAACTAGAATGACGTAAATCAACAAAAGATGCCATAGATTTACAATGATTGACAACGTTCTTGTCCAAAACGTCTATCCATATAAACATCTTAAAATCAGTGTAGATGGAAGTCATGAATGCAGGAATGTGAGGATATATTTAGAAAATACTTCATATTTAGAAATGCACGTGACATGAGCTGATTAGTTGTCGCAAAAGACGAGCAGCACGGTATGCTTGAGCGCCTCCAGTTATATATATATATATATATATATATATATATATATATATATATCGTACTCCTTTTCATATATTTCTTTAAACTAATTACATTAATAACAACGCAGATACAAAGTGTCAAGTACGGATTTTACTTAGTGGATGTGTGTTTCGTGAAGACGGGTATCAAAAAGCAGAAAAGCAATAGGAAATGAAACAAATATATGAATTATGAAAATTCAGTAATACATTGGGTCCGAGAATATCAAGGTGATCCAGTTGATTTAACATGTAGCAAAATACAAGGAAGTAAATAGACACATACCTATCATTACTCAAAGTTGACTAATTCAAGTATACAGAAGGACAAATGACATTAAAATGATCCATCTGTTCTGAAATTAAAATAAAATTTATATAGACGTTATAACCTGGAAGCCACCATGATGATATTAATCCCTTTATAGATCATAACTATGCTGTTCATGAAACATATAAGCTAGCGAAATTGAAGCATGAAACCTAATCAAGAATAATCGAGAACTCAAATTAAAAAGACTCTTCTAGCTCAAAAGATGATCTATGTAATAATGCGTTACTCGTAAAATTACGATCACTACAGTTGTTCTGTAGTCATTTTACAGGTTACCGAAATATAGTTTAGAAAAATTAATCTAACATACATAAGTTCGTTCAAATTGAGAACTATGTTCTTATTCAGAAATAACAGCAACATCAAACACATTGTTAAATATCTTTCGTAGTCTCTTTACATCAAACCAATAAATGACTCCATGTATTGAATTCTGTAACAACTATATAGATTATACTAGATAGCATTGTTCTGTCTTAATAAGTCAGTAATCTAATATGTCTAATAAAATATACTTACAAGATTTGTCTCATATTAGTTAGACTATGAGAAAGATACATAGTAAAATTAAACTGTTATTATTTGAAAAAAATATCATTTTTACTGTGTTCAAATTTCTGAAGGTATCCAATGGTGTAAAGAAGCGGTAGCGAGACTATGATTTGTGGACGAACCAATCAGATATAAGATAACAGGTCTTGGATTTTTGCAAGAAATTCAGTCATCCATTTAACTAAATAATGTTTTGGAATTTTAGCTGTTGTCAGTTTGTCATGACAACCCTAAATCTATTTACAAACCCTAACCACCAATTGTAAATCATAATTCTAGTTCCTCACACTATTTTATAACCCTCATTTAGTCCCAGTTAGTAGGTGAACATTATCAAGGTCACTTTAGCGTTGCTTATTTGTCGTTCATAAATTATAATCTCACCCACCTTTGTTCTTAACTTATTTCAACTTCAAAGCTGATCTAGAAAACATAAATAAGATTATGTATGTGAACATGTGGTCAGATTATTTGAGATGTATTGCATAAGTTCATCAAATGTTTGGAA